TGGGAGCTAGGAAGTTGGGGAGGGACTTAATGGAAGGTCAGTAAAACAGCTTGCAGAGGACAGGGTCAGGCCTGGGGGTAAAGGGCTAAGTAACTTCTGTCAACTAGTTGAGCAGAGCTTTGTGTGCTTTATTTTGGAGACTAAAATTACTTCAGAGGAAACATCTAGATTCTCTGAATCTGATCCATTTTCCCTGTGTATCATAGTAAATTGTTCACCAAATCAGAATCTATCCTGCCCCCTAGGAATTGTCCTCTTCAGGTCTAGCAAAGAGCTTGCTGCCACGGTTCAGGAAATCAAGGGTGAAATGCTTCACGTAGTAGTAGTGGATAGCAGGTAAGCTTTATGTTTTAGTACACAACTTAAGGATTAAATGCTGAGTACAACTGTTGTCTCTGTAGAGTTTAAAAACCAGCTTGCCAGGTTCCCTGCACCTGCTTGTATACTGGGCCAGATGACTGACTGTAGAACTTTAGGCAGCTTCTCAGAGTCAAGAAACATCCTTAAAGAAGCAAATCTGGAGCATGTGCCAGATCTTACACTGTTCTGGCCTTGTGTTACTATCTCAGCATTGCTGTCTAGAGTGGAGCAACCTACCTAAAGCTTAGTCTAACTAAGTTTTGTTATGCCACATCAGTGTCTTAGGTCACCACTGCTCATGTCCCTCACTCAGGGAACATAACAGGTTCCTCAAAACCTGTGTCATTATTTCCTGTTTCTTTCACTATGCAGAATAGAGGGATCCTCAGTTGAAGATCAAATTGACCCAATGAGGCTTTTTTTTTTTTTTTTTTTTTTTATCTAGGCCAATGAAAGGAAGAGGAAGGAGCACCAATTCAGAAAGAGGGAGTTATAAGATCTGCAATGTATTAACATGGTAACTCTTTGAAGCCTAAGAGAAACAGAATCCTATTTGAATTCTGAACCATGGGGTCTGAGATGAAGACGAAATTGAGATGTTTCTGTTGGAATTTGGGTAAAGAGCGTTTACTCAGTATGTATGTTCTTGCTCTGCCCCAGTCTTCACAAGAGCTTCTGGACAGGCATTAACCAGCACCATTTTAAAATTTTTTATTTTTTTGCAAATGGATCATTTTTTCGGTAATGGAGAAAGATGACTACTAGCACAATGTGTGTAGTGTCATTATATCCCTGTTTTAACCAGTGGAATATATTTGGGGTGGAGGCTACACCACTGGAAAGAGCTTTTCCTTTGTACCAGAGTACCTGCTTATGTAAGGATTTATGTTTTTGACTATTAGCATGATGTCACTGAACTAAGCTTTCTAGTTTGGTTCAGCCCCACGAAGTTTGCGTGACCTGTCAACTTTTTTCAAGCTCAGCCATCACCCTGGGCTTGGGGCATCTGAGGGCAGGGAGGAACAGGTGTCCAAAGGAGAAATGCTGGTGCCTGAGAGCAATGTTTTCCAGTTGTATTAAATTTCTTACTTGGTGTATTTTTGACCTGTCTTAGTTTCTTTCCTTCTTGTGTCCTATGCTGTTTTGCTTGCTATTTGTTGTATGTCCTCTATCAGCCATTCAGGAGTTGTAAAATGGAAGGTATTTCTACTCAAATGTTTTATGGGTGGAACTGACAGGTTAAGCATCGTGTGTAGTAGCTTCTTTCAGAAAGAGTGAAGGTGATAAATGTGTTACCATGGCTTTGGATAGGTTTTGGGTATCTGGGGCATATGGCCCTTCTTAAACAAATGAGTATTTCAGGATCCTCAACTACCAGTAGGTCTACTAGGGAAATGGGTAGATTTGTTCCCTGTCCCTTTGTTCTCGGTGACTATGTTCAAGCTGTTAAAGGATTTAAATAGGTATTTAGGAGGGAAAAAGTCTTTGTTGTTTCCCCTTCCTCACCTTACCAGTTAAGACAGAAATAACTAGTGATGACACTTTAGGTGGTGGAATTGAAACACAAACCCAACTTCTGACCACATGGGCCACAGGCAATTGGCTTAAAGCCCTTGGTGTGGGGAGGTGGGAAGGGCGGATTAACTTCTGCTTTCTTCTCAGAGAGGCTTGGTTGTTTTTGTTTTTGTGTCTCTCTTGTGTGTGTGGGAGGGGGTGTGGGGTAGAGGTGTTGGTGGGGTGGTTGTTACCTTTGGTTTGGTCTGGTAGAGTGTGTGTCCTTTCTCTTCAATTGCACTGAGGCTGTTAATGAAGGGTATCATTTCTCTAGCTGGTATTTTTGGTAAATAATTGCAGACTTGATTTTTACTAGTAGATCTGTTAGTTCCAGCTTTCTTGCATGAAGCATGAGTTCTTAACTGCGAATTTGAAGCAGCTCCTAAGTAGATGGTCTCTATGAAAAGTTTTGGATTTGATTCAGTTTTGCTTGTTGAGCAGTCTTTCTTGGGAAAGGTAATTGACAATAGCAGAGATGGTTTCTATTCCTAGGCTTCTGCATCTAATCTTAATGTACTCACATGATTTTAAAGTCCTTTTAAAAATGGGAAGGAAATATCCCCTTACTTTCTAATGTTTGCTAAAAGTTGTCTTTGGAAATGCTAATCTTAATAGGTCTCTTCCTTTGTCATGTGTCATTAGCCTTTTGGCTGTTTACCTTAGGGCTCTTTGAGGGAGGGGTGGGTGGGGCACAGGGAAAAACTTGTTACTCTGAGAGAAAGTTAAGAACTGGCTCAGGGCTCTTTGCAGAATTCCCAGCCCCAGACTTCATCTAGAACCATTCAGTAGCACCAATAAAAATACCTTCTTAGCACGTGTTATATTCCAGGGAATGTTCTAAGCTTTTTATACACATTTCTCCTTTAGTCTACATTTCTCTTTTATCCACAGTCCTATATGTGAGGTAGGTATTTACTTTGTTCTCATTTTCCAGATGAGGAAATTGAGGCCCTGAAAGATTAAGTTACAGGTTGTACACACTGGGGCACAGAAGGTGGGAAAGAACCTGAACAGGGTGGGAAGGGAATCTGAATTTTATTTGGGTGGATGTAGGCACGTGTATTTTTCTTCTTCTTCTTTTTTTTTTTTTTTTGTCTTAGACACCAGACATTTCAGTTATTCATCATATCTGGAGGTAACACCGCTGATGCACTCACTGAAAGTTGTTTACAATAATCAAGATGAATTTATTATCCTTAGACATTACTTGTTTTGATTGGGCCCCAGTATGGTCTGTGGAAGCAGGCTTGAGGAGAAGGGTTCATTTTGTTTGTAGTTAAAGATTCTGTCTGTCCTAAGGATGGAATATTTGATCATCCTAATTTCATTATATTCCTCAAAACAGTTGGAGTTGATTGTTTTTGAGTACTCGTTCCAAACTTTTGGATGGTTTCTTTGGAAAATAGCCTAAGATTTAACATTTCATCTGAATTTAAAAGGTTGTTCATTTTTCTTTTAAAGGGGAAAGAAAAATCGGAGCAATTAGGAATTCTGGTTTCATCTCATGGATAGAAAAACGAGCCATTTACCTCAAGAAAAGTGATACTTCTGAATCCCGCTCTTCAGTAATGAGAACTAGACAGTTTTACTTGATGTCTACTTTGTAGTAGTGGGGAACCCCCTCTCCAGAGGTTTTGAGGACTGCTAAAAAGGGTTTTCTAGATTCTGGGGAAAGAAGTTCAAGAGAGTCCAGCAACATTGTCATTAGAAAAATGGTCTTCATCAAGTGCTAGTCTTAGGATCCTGAAGCTTCATTTTCACCACAGTTTGAAAGGCAGCAGAGCAGGAGAGGCTGTACGGGGGAGGAGAAACACTGAGGAGAGATGTATTACGGAGACCGCGAAGTCAGTGTGTTAGTGGGGAAGAAGCAGAGACTGCGGTCCCTGAGTGAGAACAGAAGAGCGTGCAGTGTCTCAGGTCAGAGCCAAAAGGTTTGAGTTTACCTAGTTCATTTCTTAGGTTTACATCTTGGTTCTTTCCTTATCTTATATGTATATATAAGCTTAGGCTTCCTGAACCATTTATTTCTCTTTGCAAAAGAGACTAATGGACATTTTCTAGCAGACAGAAAGGGCCACTGTAGCAGTTTAGCTGAGGAGTGTAATCAGAAACTTCATCATTTTCTGTCCCCTCCTGTCCTAGGCTGACTGGTTCCCTGATGTGTTACCTGCTTCTGCCACTGATTGAAACTACAGAACTTCTCATTGGTCCCCAAGACTTCAGTAGGGAGTCAGACGGCGTTGGCCAGCCCCTTCACTCTGGTGACTGAGGAGAGGAGAGTGGGCAGCGGCTATACGTGTGTAGTGGATGGGAAAGAAACAGACTGTCAGATTGCTGTGCTTCAGTTTCTTTTACCAAATTCCACAACCGTTTTATTTTCATTGTGTATGTACGGGGGAAACTGGAGATGGTGACGTTGATTAGAATGTGACTTAAGAGGAATAAATGGAGGGGCTAAGATAAGAGTCAATTATGAAAGATGTTGAAGTCTTGAAATAATGTGACTACCTGAAGATTTTTTTTTAAACCAGAATTTATACAAAACTGACAGCCTGCCCCCTCATTTCCCGCCACAGGAGACTTACAGGACTGGAGGCAATTGTTTAATAATAGCCTGTCTCTGCTATTCCCAATAGCTACCTCTATGTGAGGAATGGATAGAATACGTTCAGGGCATCATCATACAAAGCTCCAGTAGCAGTGACGCCTACACGGAAGGCTTGGAACTGCAAACAGAGGCTGGGGTCACCTCAGTGACATCTGACGCTGTCCAACCAGAAGTTCGATTTTTGTTTGGGGCGGGGGGTCGGGGGGTGTGAAGAAGCAGACTGTACTAAAGAACTAAAACAATTTCTTGTCTATACTTTCTCTTTAAAAAAATTTTTTGGGCGGCGGGAGAGGGGGGTGTTAAGTAGAATTTCACATCGTATCTGAAGTTAGGAGGAGGATGGGAAAGCTCAGCCCTTCACCCAAGAATAACCCAGTAATGACACCTCTGCGCGTGGGAAGTGTTTCCTTCTGCACAGGGAGGATGTGAGGCTGCACCCCAGTGGGATTCCCTGCTTGAGCTGGAAGGCCACTTAGAGATGCGTGTCGCGCCAAGAGTGCGGAGCTTTCGCTGGGATGAAATACCGGCCTGGAGAGACACTCCAAGTCGAAGGGGCTTCCTCCAGCTTGGAGGTAGGGGCCGTGCTGCGCAAAGGGGACCGGAGAGCCCCGGGACCGCCGCAGCCTGCGCCTTCCGCCGAGGGCCTGCCGGGGACGCGATGCTGCCGGGCGCCTGGCCCGCGTCGCTGCCGCCGCCGGCGCGGCCGTGCCCAGCGAGGCCGCGCCAGACCCTGGCGTCCTCCATGTTCTCTCCCGGGCTCCCCCTGCTCCGGCTGCCTGGGCCGCGGACCGCAGCACCACACACCCCCGCGGGGGGGGGACGCCGCGCCCCATCCCCGCCCCCGGCCCCACCCCGGCCCCGCCGCGGGGGCCCCGACCCCACCGCCGGCGGGCACTGGCTGAGCTCCGAGGCCGAGAGCCGGCCGCGGGGCCGCGCGGGAGGGGTCGGGGCCGCCGGGGGCGGCGGCGGCCGGCTCGGGGCTCCCCCCCCGCCCGCGCTCGCCGCGGCGGTGGTGCGTCCCGGAGGTTACCGGAAGTGGCCGCGCTCGGCGCTGCCATGTTGAGGAGCCGCCGCTGCCGCTGCCGCCGCCGCCGCCGCCGCCGCTTTGTTGTCGCCTCCTCCGGCTGAGGAGGCGCCCCGAGCGGGGGGAGTGGGGAGGAGGGGGGTCGGCCGCCGCAGCCATGGAGGCCAACTGGACCGCGTTCCTGTTCCAGGTACTGGGGCCCCCCCGGGGGGGCACGGGGGGGACAGGGGGGCCGGGCCCGGGGCTGGCGGGCGGGCGGGCAGGCGCTCCTCCTCCCTCCCTCCCGGCCCCGCTCTCCGGCCCGGCCTTAATCCCCCTTTGTTTTTCCGCCCGCCCGCCCCGGCGGAGCGGGGCTGCTGAGGGGAAAGGAGGCGGCCTCGCGGGGCGCGGGGGAGAAAGCAGGCCTCGGGGTGACCCCCGGGCCCCCCCAGCACACACACGCACACGCACACACCCTTCGCTCCCGCCCCGGAGGGGAAGGGAGGAGGCCGGCCGCTGTCACCGCCCGCGGCCCGGAGAAAGGAGGGCGCCGGGCCGCTGGAGAGCGCGGTCCGCTTGGCCGCGGCGCGCCGGGCCGGGGCCCACGCCGTGGGGTGAGGGGGTCCCCGGGTCCCACTCAGTCCCCCCCTACTTGGTCTGTCTTTCGCTCGCTCTCCGTTCTTTACGCCTCTTTTTGTGCGTGTGTTGACTTTCTGACACCCCCCCCCGCCCCGTCCCCGCGAATAGCGGGTATCCCTGGGCTCCCCGCCACTCCCCCTTCCCGCCGCCCCCCTCGTGTTTACCCAGTTGGGGGTGTTGTGACTGTGTGTCCCCTCCCCAAACTTTTTCACTGGCTTTACGTGTTTTCTCTCGCAAGCCTCTGCCGAGCCTTGGCAGCTGACACCCGCTCCCTCTGTCCAGCTCTCCCGCCGTCCCATTCAGCCCGGGGAATCCCCCGGCCGGGGAGGGGGGTGCGGGGGGGCCAGGACTCGGAGGCCCCACCTTCTCCCGGGGCGCGCTTCTCTCTCGTCCCACCTCGAGCGTCTCCTCCAGCCAAGTGGGGGAGACGGCAAGTGGAGAGAGCAAACAAAGTCCGCTTACAAAGCCCCCAGATGAGTCATTCGTGGGGTGTTGGTCTTCATTTTTTGCAAGAAACTTGAAGGTGACTGTGGCCGATATGTTGGCAGTCCTCTTGTCGGCTCACTTGAAGTGGGGACCCCTGTTTAGAAGACCGAGAACTTTTTCTTTTTTTTCCTGCTCCGTTTCTGTTTGCAAACGAAGCAGTTGGTGGGCAGTAGTAATGAGCTCACGGGGAAACTTCGGAACTGGAGGCTAGGAAGCTCGTCACTTTAAGTGCGTTCTTCCCGCCTCTTTGAGTTATTTTCCTTCTTTGAATAACTTCGCGAAATCCCAAACCAGTAGCTTGGGTGCTCGAAACCTTTTGTGACTAACCAAGAACGGAGGCAGAATTTTCAAAAATAATCCTCCCAGCCCCTGGGCCCATCCCAGTGGAGTTAATATAGGGAACTGGATAATTCAAACGTTGCCTATTGTGTAGAGATGGTTTATTGTTTGAAGATATATTCTTTTGAATGTAATTTGCTTTTTAAATAATTGTATTATATTCAGGCTTCTTAAAATTGAGCATACTCAAAATTATGGAATTCACTAACTTGGCCTTTTTCTCATTCTGATCTAGTATTGTTTTAACGTGCTTTGATGAGATTGATAATGAGATAAGCCAACTTAAAAATGCATTGGAAAAGAAATGATATATAACCAGCTTGCATCCAGGTTGGTGTGAAGGTGGCAAATGCCCTCTTGAGAAAAAGCTTTCAAATGGTCATTTTAAAATATGGGATTAGTGGGCCACTGAAGTGATTTTTCACATGAGGAATGATTTAGATTTACCGTATTAAACGCGCTCTCTCTTAATGGAGATTGGAAAAAATTGAGAGTTCTTTATGTAAAAGAAAACCCCCTAACTGATTTCTGGAAAACTGTTGAAAAATCTTTTGGAATACTTTTATTATTCTTTTCCTGGGGAAAGCAAATGCCAAGCATTTATTGATCAACTTTTTAATTAGATTTTATATTATTTAATTTTTTTCAGCTATTAAAATCTTTTTTTCCACCTGATGGAGAAGTGTGAAAGCTAATATTTGATCCTGGGCTTGGCAATGTGTGCAGTGATAATTTAGAGCCGAGGACAGTTGAATGGGTAAAGAGAATATTTCAGTCTTTTCTCTGGAAAGGTATGAATAGACTTACTCAGTTCCAGTTTTAAGTAATTTTCAGTGGGGAAATGGAGAGTCGAACTCTCTTGTTGTTTCCTGAAGCATCCTATTGAATTTATATTTTAAAACAATTTTAATACCTGCTTGCTTTCCAAATAACCTGGTGGAAAGTGAAAGCCATAGCTGTTAAAATGTTTGATGGATGATTCTTCTAACAGGACATTCAAGATGTGACTCACTGATGCTAATTTCTTCAGTGCAAAATCTTTTACCCTCTGGCACTGGAGATTTCATGGTGCCATATCCTACCACCCTGGGTGATGAAGTAACATTTCTGTTTTGCCAGCCCCAGAAGAAATCTTGGGCAGGGTTTTAAGAAAGAAAAGAAAAGCCTTGCTATTGAAAGAGATGGGAGATAAATTTTGGTTTGATGATGCTAGTCAAATAAAAGTCTACCCAGAAGTTATATATTTTAAAAAATCACCTAACTGAAGGCAGGCCATGGTTGTTATTTTACTCTGTCTCTCCCCCAGAGAACAAGTTGGGGAAACCCAGTTCCCCTCTTAGAAGGCTTCATGTAGAAGTGTGGGGATCCTAGGAATCCTCAGAGAGTGATTCCCGTAGTGGTCAAGGCATTCTACAGCATTTCACCCGAGAAGCAGGGACCTGGTGTGACCCTCGTGTGAGAGTGAGCTTCAGCAATGCTGTAAAAATACTTTATGTTGCCACAGACATCTGAATTGGTAAAATGGCAGTAAGTGCTTTTAGTACTCCATCGAACTAATGGTTGTTTAGAATTGAAAAATGCCTCTAAACACTATAAGTCTGAACTTTGTCCAGAAGATTTGCATTTCCTATTATCTGATCTGATAGCCTTTGAAATTGTATATCTTGAGCTATCTTCAGCTATTAACCTTTTATATATTATATGGAAGCTTGGGTATCCTACAGCCAGGCTGGAGATGGGGTAAGATTAGAGTCCAAATTCTATAAAAGTGTCTACTGAGGTCACTTGGGTAGATCCTGACAATGGTAGGAGCTCCCTAAATTAAATGAAACGTGGACTGTAATTCAGTATGAGCACTAAGTCTTGAAAGAGAGCTCATAAGTAAGCACAAAAGGAAGATTGAGTCAAAATGACTAGATTGAAAATGGTAACTCAGTACCATCTCCTGATGATTCAGGGGAGTCTGGTTCTAGGCTTAGTTAACTATTGTGCTGCTATCAAGTAAACATGGGCCTGTGTGTGGTAGATGTTCTTATTCATCAGAAGAGCTGTGTGTCCGTGTGTGTGTCTTGTCTGTCTCCATGGTTTTTTCTCCTTAATGGAGTGAACTGTAGGACCTGGGATTATAGAGTATAAAGGGTAAATAGGTGTCTAGAGTCTCTAAGCTGATGGGGTGGACCCTTCCAAAGATGTTGTGTGCCTTAAACATTTGGAACTCTTACCTCGGAGTGCGTATATCCTTGCAGGATGACAAACCCAAGCACTGGGGCTCGGGGTTACTGTCAGGAGCTTCACGATCCATGTTGGTCAAGCACAACATACTGGGGAGAGCTGTTTCAGGAGTTCTTTTTCCCCATCATTTCCTAAATGTTTATCAGTATGGAGGTATGGACAATTTGGGAAGACTCAAATCCAAGAGAGTAATTACTCATAAATACCAAGAACCTGATCCACAACGAAATGTTGGTTTCAGTGCAGCTAACGAAAATTTCCAAACAGTGTCCGGCCCCCAGTTTTGGAGGAGTTGGAAAGCACTTTATAACAGCAAATGCCCAATACTTTTAACAGGACTTAGAACCACTAGAAGTAGGTGAAAATGAAAGGAATTTAAATTATTTATATCTTGTTTTCTCTTACTAGTTTGAGTTTAGGGTTTGAACTAGTGTTGCTAAAGGATGAGATGAAATGAACTAAAAAACAACTGACAGGTGTCTGCTGGGGGCTGCCTTCACAGATACCTTCCAGGTTTCATTTCAGCCAAATCTTTTAGTAAAATTAAGTGAAAACTTTGAAAGTAAACTTAACAACTAGCATACGTATTCCCAGAACTAGTGCCTGTCTTTTCCTAGGTAAAATAAACAAGTAGATGATAATATGTCTGTATGTATATGTGTGTGTGTGTGTGGCTTGTGCATTACTGCAGTAAGGTACTGTTAAACACTTAAGTCTAAAGTGTAATTTTTTTGACAAGTTATTTAAACTTGGTTTCAGCACTGGCAGACTAACACAAACTGATTTCGTCAGCTGGTATGTCCCTTATGAACCAGGGTGGTGTGTAGTTTAGTCAGCTGTTTGAAAGCAAGATCACTGTCAGCAATTTATTTGCAAAAGTTTTGTGTCTGTGCAGTGATTTTAAGTGCTTTGTAATGGGAGCTCTGAGAGTAGCTAGGTAGTTGCTGGATCTCTGCTGCAGAGAGTAGCTTACAGGCTCATTGATTGTTTCTTCTGGTCTCTGTTTTCTGAAGCATGTTGTATTTTGAGGGTCGTTGTGAGAGGCCAAGTTTCTGAAGTGTGAATGTTTGATTTTAGGCCCATGAAGCCTCCCATCATCAGCAGCAGGCAGCACAGAACAGTTTGCTGCCCCTTCTGAGCTCTGCTGTGGAGCCCCCTGATCAGAAACCATTGCTTCCAATACCGATAACTCAGAAACCTCAGGCTGCTCCAGAAACATTAAAGGATGCCATTGGGATTAAGAAAGAAAAGCCCAAAACTTCCTTTGTGTGCACTTACTGCAGTAAAGCTTTCAGGGACAGCTATCACCTGAGGCGCCACGAGTCCTGCCACACAGGCATCAAGCTGGTGTCCCGGCCAAAGAAAACCCCCACCACGGTGGTTCCCCTCATCTCCACCATCGCTGGGGACAGCAGCCGAACTTCGCTGGTCTCAACCATTGCAGGCATCTTGTCCACAGTCACTACATCTTCCTCGGGCACCAACCCCAGCAGCAGTGCCAGCAGCACAGCTATGCCCGTGACCCAGTCTGTCAAGAAACCCAGTAAGCCTGTCAAGAAGAACCACGCGTGTGAGATGTGTGGGAAGGCCTTCCGAGATGTGTACCACCTCAACCGGCACAAGCTCTCCCATTCGGACGAAAAGCCCTTCGAGTGTCCTATTTGCAATCAGCGCTTCAAGAGGAAGGACCGCATGACTTACCACGTGAGGTCTCACGAAGGAGGCATCACCAAACCCTATACTTGCAGTGTTTGTGGGAAAGGCTTCTCGAGGTAGTGCATTTTGCTTTGTTTCTTTGTTTTTGTTTCTGTTTTTCCTATCATGGTATCAGTACAATCTCTAGATCTAGAATGTTTATGTGAGACTAGATATGTGCAGGCCTGCCTTATTAGAGGAGATTGGTGACAGATAAAGTATTATACCTCCAGGGCTAATTCCAGTTTGGTGTGGTTGACAAGTGTGACATAGGGATTAACTAACTATTTCATTTAAGAAGTGCCTTGGTGGACTCAGGTCTTTATTCAGCACAGCAATACTTCTTATCACTGCAAAACCAGTACTTTTTGGTTCAGTTGGGTGACTGGTCTTGAGGTTAACTGCACAAATCAAGGAAACATATCCTGGAAGTTAGGATGACCTTGGATACTCTTAAAACTTTTAAGAGAGTGTGTTTTTCCATTTCTCTCTGGTTACTAACATTTCACTAATTTTCATTTGTAAAGGCTTTTTAAAGTTAATATTAATAGCAGTTGTCTCTGGCAAGTGATAGTAAATTTTGGGTATTCTGTAACTGTAAAGAGTCAAGACCTAGTATGATTTGATGTTGACTAGAAGAGAAAATTAACAAGTAAAGGACTAAGACTTTTGTTTATGGTAAGAGAGGTAAGGAGGCTTGCACTGGGGGGTGGGGGAGTTGGTAATTCTACTAGCTTTCTTTAAAATGCCCCCCCACCCATATCTGCCAAGCATGTAAACATCACAGTAAGTAGCATTTCTCTATGTGTGTGTTCCATTACATCTTCTGTTGAAACTCTCTCTTTCACAGGCCTGACCACTTAAGCTGTCACGTAAAACATGTCCATTCAACAGAAAGACCCTTCAAATGCCAAGTAAGAGTTAAAATGACTTATCCGTAGTGTAGCACTTAATGCACATTGTCCAGAAGGTCTGAGCCATCTCACTATTCTTGAATAGTCTTAAAATCACTGACTTGAGTAAATGTGGTCCTCTTGAATTCTAGTTTTATAAAACATAAATGACAGCTTCTATTTCTGGGAGGCGTGATCATTTAAAAATGTAAATAAATGTTGTTTTTGTTAAGCTACATTTCCTTTTCCTTGGGCAGCAGTGTTTAGTAATAAGAAAAAAAAAATGTATTGTCTTGCAAAGGTCACTATATTTGAAATGAATGAAGGGCTTTAAATTAATTCCTGGGCTGATGGTTGAGGTGGTTTTCACTCTTAATAGAAGAAAATAGGGATGTTTTCCCAAATGTAACCACTTACTGGATTTTTCTCTGCTATTGCCACATTGGAGCATTTTTAATGACATAAATTGTGGTAATGAGAAGTTTAAGAATCTTAATGAAATGACTGTTAGGTGTCAGTAATTCTGTTTTTTATGCAGAAAGTCTTTTTGTGCTCCTTTTAGTTAAATTTGTTAATAACTGATTTTATTAAGTAAATGATTGAATTCTAAGAAAAATCCAGTTGGAGGAAGGAGACTAGTGTCATTGAGTGAGTACCTGCTATGAGGCCGTGGGCCAGGCTCTTAATCCACCAGTAATTTTGTGAGGTAGGTATTACCTTCATTTTACAGATGAAATAAATTCAGATAGGTTAGCTAGCTTGCTGAGTATTACACTGTTTAGTGAATTAGGAAGCTGGATTTAAATCCAAGGTTGACTGACTCTGCAGCTCACATCTTTTCACTACTTGTTTGATATTTTTTTCTTTCCCTCGAAATGTAAGGTGCAAAATTGACCAGGTGTTTTGTTATGAGTACAGTTTTAGGTAAGACATGCAATTAAAATCCAACTAATTCAGTCTGCTTGCTTACTTGGGTAGGGTAATACCTTAGAATATAACGTACTTTAAAATGAGTAGAACAGGATAGTCTATATTTAAAAAAAGTTTTCCTCCCTCATGCAGACATGCACTGCTGCCTTTGCCACCAAAGACAGACTGCGGACACACATGGTGCGCCACGAAGGCAAGGTGTCTTGTAACATCTGTGGGAAGCTCCTGAGCGCAGCGTACATCACCAGCCACCTAAAGACGCATGGGCAGAGCCAGAGCATCAACTGCAACACGTGCAAGCAGGGCATCAGCAAAAGTGAGCGGTGCCCCAGCTCGCGGTTCTCGTGGTGGTTCAGATTGATGGAGTGTAGATTTTTTTTTTTTTAAATGATGTATTGAAGATATTTTCACTTGTGTTCTCAGGACCGTATTAATATTCATCTTACTTGTTTCCTCCTGTTACTAAAGTATGCAAGCACACATCAGCGGAGAGTGTACGTTAGTGTTGGAAACACACTTCACATGCGCGTATGCAGACAGCACTGATGAGCGCTCCACTGATTTTGCTTTGCTCGTGCACCGTCTGCTAGAAACGCCCGGGTTAGAGGAGCACAGTCTCCCGGCAGCTGCTTTTCAGCGTGTCCCTTCTTCCGGGGTTTGCATAGGAAGCTGTAGTGTGTGCGAGTTGTGGTAGAAGTGCCTCCTGACTCCTGATTGCATTAATAACATGTCCTCAGTAACCTAAAGATAAAAGCAGTGTCAAGTAATTTTACTTTCCAAACCCAAATCTATACAGAAAAGGGATATCATATCCACTGGAATGTTTAAATGCTTTGCTTACCTTAAATTCAGAGCCAAAGATAGACTATTCCACGGACCTGTGGATAAAATTCAGTACTTGCATTCAGAGGCATTTTCTTTTAAGATCTCCCTAACCACCAGAAGAAAGTGTTTTCCTAATTCTGTATTCTGTTATATATGTGCTTTATGTGGCAGAAACATCAGATTCTCAAAATAGCTGGCCAAACGTGAATGGGAAAGAATGTTAATGTGTTCTAATGTCATTTGTTTTTGCTTCTTTGTAAGTATGTTGAGTTTATTATCTAGCATGTCAAACTTTGTTAATTTTACAGAAATTTACTTTTAATGTACATTGTTGTGATCAAATAACTTAAGTATATTAGATATTTTGATGAGCCTCAATCATTCCATGCTAATATTACCCAAGTTCAATTCTGAAAGATACTTGCTTTTTAATGTAGCAAAGAATTCTTTTATATTGATTCTCCCTAGCTTTCTGGATTTTTTTTTTTTAATTTATCTATTTTGACCAATAGAGCATAGCAGCTCACAAGAGGTACTAGAGTAAAAAAATCACTGGGTCAGATGATAAAGATCATAGAGGTGTGAGGAGTCAAGCTATCTTAAGGTTTGGATTTTGGAAAAGTCGCCCGCACTTTTTCAGGGTAAATTTGGTGTTTCTGGTTTGTCTTTGGAGTAGCGTGCATGAGTGAAGAGACCAGCAGCCAGAAGCAGCAGCAGCAGCAGCAGCAGCAGCAGCAGCAGCACGTGACAAGCTGGCCAGGGAAGCAGGTAGAGACATTGAGACTGTGGGAAGAAGCTGTCAAAGCAAGAAAGAAAGGTAAGACGAGGTGTCCAGTGCCCACGGCATGGCTAGGAAAGGGTTTGTGTCTAGTGTGTGCCAAGGGGCAAAGGAAAATAGCCACGGCTCAGAGACTCCTGCTTTACGGACACACTTTATGAAGGTGCTCTGTGCTGGGGAGTATCTGGTTGAGTTATTAGCAGCGAAGCTTCTAAGCTTCCGGATAGTTTTCTTTTTCCTAGGAAATAAAAATTCTCAGTACTTCTTATCATGTTCTTTCTTTTGATTTACCTTTCATTACAAATTTGGAGCCACATTTGGTACTTTGCTATGTACGCCCAGAGTTCCTTTTTATGTTCTTTTTATGTCAGCCTCCATGCATTAAAGGCTCCTTTTTTTTTTTCTTTCTAAAATAGTCCCACTCTTAGAGGTAGATGAACTATCCTTCTGTGCACATAAGTTCATTTTCTTACAACTGTGCTATTTTCTGTTCTTTAGGGTTGTTTCTGAATTGTGGGGGTTTTTTTTATGTATTTCAGACTCTGTAATGCCAATGTCTTTTTTCTCAGTCTTACCCTTAACCTCTTTCATTCTGTCACTAGGGCTGGCATTAGCTTAACATGTATATACTTCAGTTGATAGTGACTTGACTGTAATTGTTACTGAAATTTTGAGAATGGTTTGCTTTTCTCTATATATATCTTGTAAAGAAGCAGTTGGAGTATCAGTTTTCAACACAGCTTTTTAACTTAGTGGCTGTAGCTTTGGTTGTGCAGCCATTTCAGTTAAGTCATTTTGACAGAGCATCATCAGCCATTGGACAGACTCCTAAATTCATTTTTCCTCCCTCTCCCTTGTCTTGTGTTACTTTAAATTCTTGAGGCATCCCCTGCATGTAGGCTCTGCTGTAATTCCTCTGCTGTGTAGTCCCTTCCGCCCTCTGCTTTCATGCAGTGAAGCTATTCCCTTCCTCTCAGACCCCTTCCGAGCAGCCGGTACTTGGATAAAGATAAAAGGAGTAGCATTCTTTTTCATGCATCAGCTGGCATTGGAGGGCTTCCCTGGTGGCTCAGCAGCAAAGAATCTGCCTGTAATGTAGGAGACACAGGTCAATCCCTGGGTCAGGAACATCCCCTGAGGAGGACATCCTTGCCTGAAGAATCCCATGGACAGAGGAGCCTGGCAGGCTACAGTCCCCAGGGTCGTAAAGAGTCGGACACGGCTGAAGCGACTTAGCATGCACGCACTGGCATTGGAGGAAAAGAAGGGAGCAGTTCAGAGAGGCTTTCCACTTGGTGCTGGTTACTCCTATCTTCCAAGTGAATATTGTCATTTTGATAAAATGTTTTGTAGAAGGAGTGGAGAATGGCGGATAGGGGAGAAAAATGTATATATGTGTATATGCCATGATAATTGTATAGTGGGTTGAAAGCATATTATGAAGGAGATTTAACTCAGAGAAGAAGTAAAAGCGGTTAAGTTACAGAAGAGGATAGGGTTAGATTAAAAAGAAAACATGGTAGGGGAGGTAGGGAGATGGTGGAAGCGGGAGTGAAATTCACTGGGTTACAATAGGAGGAGAATGTCTTTAGCAGTGCTACCATCACCTCAAAAATGAGTTGGTTTTCTCCCTCATTCTTTCTTTTTTCCTGCACTGTTCTGTTTGGTGTTGTGTTTCAGTGTGCTTGCACAATAAGACTCAGTTGTTTAGCTCATCTTCTGATCTCCATGAAACAAGATGCTATTATAGGCCCACTTGTAATGCGAATCTCTTTGGAGATTCACTGATGTTAGATGTTAGAAACTGATGTTTCTAACTGATGTTAGGAACTTCTGTGTTCATGTTAGTAAATGTCACATTTTGGGGAGAAGAGACTCCTGACCTGAAAACCTGAACTTGAATCAGCACATCACTTTTAAATATTGGGTTTAAACAAGGTAATTAAGTTTCCAAACGTGGATGACAATCAGATCATCATTTCAGGAGCTTCTTAGATGTACAGATTTCCCAGGTTCCATCTAAATCTCAAGATTGAACTTCTTGGGGAGCAATTCCCCCCCCAAATAAGTGCTCCCTAGATAAATGATTTTGATCATCAGCCAGTTTTGGGAATCCCTGATAAGGAGTATGGAGCAGTGCCAAGGTTACATCATGCTCATCAAGGAAGTGCTGCTCATTGGCTCAAGGGGCCACCTGAGATAATTTGACCACATGTGGCATGCAGGCAGACCTCTGTAGTCTCAAATGCATTTCTCCATTTTGACAACCGAGTCACAGCACCCCATCCGTCTTCTTACTGCTCTTTTCTGACACACCAGCAGATGATGCTGAATTTTGGTTGAGGGGTGGAATAGGGGGGTGTCACCTCAGAGGAAAGTTTTCCTTAAGAAGTGCTCAGGCTCTGCTGATAACAAGGACCATGATACCCCAACTCACTGCAGGGTCTGCTCGCCTCGCTAGTCCCCTTTGGTATGGTTGGTGGTTTTGTCATATGTACAGTTAAATGACACTAGGGGTAAAGTAGGTGATTATGTCAATTTCAGAAAGAAAAATGAGAGGGGAGGAGAACATAAACCTACTGAGGGATGCTTATTCTTTCTTAACATCATTAATAAACGTAAGCAGAAACAGCAGGATTATTTTAAATGATTTGTCTAAAACTGAAATAAACAGATGATTATTAAAATAGCTTGTTTTTCTATCCCTATTTAATGGATTTTTAAAACCTTAACAGAATGTGGCTTCACCTCTGAGAAAGCTTTAGAGTACATAGCATCGAGAACACACGTCTCTCTGCTAGTTACAGTGTGCCTTACAAGAAGATTTTTCTGGTTATCTGTTGTGTAACCATCAGCCCAGCTCTGTGTAAGCAAGCTCTTCTAGCCTGGCCTGTGGGTGCTTGGCTCTTCCCTGGAATGTCTGTAGAACTCTGAGGAGCCACATGAAGCATAGTGATAATACTTAGCCCTACTTGATATCTCTGCCCCGCAGAGTGCCTTGCAGAAATTACCCCATCTTCCAGCATCATTGTGAGGTAGGTAAGTAAATCTAAACTTGAAACCAAAAGCACCAAGGCTAAGCCAGTTTCCTCAGTCCTTGTGGAAGGCCCAGTGTCAGAAAAGAGAACTGCTCTCACACCAGGATTCCTGGCCCCCAATTTTGTGCTCAGAAGGAGCCTCCCTTCCAGTTGACCATGGGGTAGAAATCTGTAATTTAACTTATTAAATGTTTGTCCTTTTTAATTAAAAGAAGTTGATTCAGAAACTCAATTGTGTTCACTGTTTTCAGAGTCTAAAGGCGCTTTTGTCTTCTTATTTTAGAAGCTGCTAACCTGTGCCAAACCTCCACGGCTGCTACGACACCTGTGACTCTCACTACTCCGTTCAATATAACGTCCTCTGTGTCATCTGGGACTATGTCAAACCCAGTCACAGTGGCAGCTGCAATGAGCATGAGAAGTCCAGTAAATGTTTCAAGTGCAGTTAACATAACCAGCCCAATGAACATAGGGCATCCTGTGACTATAACCAGTCCATTATCCATGACCTCTCCTTTAACACTCACTACCCCCGTCAACCTGCCCACCCCCGTCACTGCCCCGGTGAATATAGCACACCCTGTCACGATCACATCTCCAATGAACCTGCCCACACCTATGACGTTAGCTGCCCCTCTCAATATAGCAATGAGACCTGTAGAGAGCATGCCTTTCTTACCCCAAGCTTTGCCTACATCACCACCTTGGTAAACAGTGTTATAAAATCAGAATATGGGATAAAGTAAATATTTACCAGCAACTTACTTTTAGTTTATTAAAGCAAAAAGTAAACCATGAGATTGGGAGATTCTATTAGTTAATAATAGTGTAGTAGCATTTTCCTCCAATTTGGCTGGGATTGTTCACACTAGAGTATGTACGTCACTTATCATTGGACCACTTTAGTTTAATCAGAAATTCCTTTTAGCTGACAGCATTGCTTAAACAGGATAGTAGTTGGCAAGATGAAACATCAGAATTAAAACCAGTCATAAAAAAGAAAAATCCATTTCAAAATAAAACAGCATTACTGTTTCTAATCCCAAGAAATCATTTTATGCTAAACACTAGCAGAGCTCTTCTCCCCATATGAACAAGGTGGATGGCTGATTTTAACCTGAAGTTCTAAATCCACGGATTGTGAGCTAGTGTATTGTCTGTGTTTGTTTTTATGAGTAAATACATGCATTGTCATAATAAAATGCATTTCAGAGAATATGCATTTTACCTTTGGGAATATGTTAATTTCAGGCAGCATTCCCTATGGGAAAGGTGATACCAGCTCTGATATGCAAAGCATATGATAATTTATCATTCTAACTTCAACATATAATAGGGATTGTGACCTGATATTTGGAGATGTAAATATTGCTCAGCATACTAATCCTGATGAAATACAGCATTGTAGTTGACTTTTTAAAAAAATTTAAAAAACAAAACAAAAACAAAATATACACATTGTGTTTTGGTAAGAAAAGGCCGCAACTGGCAGAGGAGAAGTCAGGTGTGCGGACAAGCAGACTCCTAACAAACGGAGGCCAGCAGGACTCCTGTTCAGGGGTCACAGAGTACTTTGGAACAGTTAAAATGAATTTGCTTTAAATTGGAAGACGCTGGAGGCACTGGGATGTGATATGCCCCTCTCTCTCCCAATCAGAGCCTGTTGATGTTTCAACAGGGAAAGATGTGTTAGTTGCTCACTAGAGTTTATGTCTTATATTAAATTGTATACAGTTTTTATTCTAACCACTAACTAGGTAGTATGCCCCTTCAGAACAAGCAGAGTCTTTTATTTTTAATTTCTCCTTCCGTTTCTTAATCAAGTATTGTGCAGATTTGTTCAACTTTGTAAATACAGACATCACTTTTTTTTTCTTTGAGAAAACACTTGTATCAGCTTTGTGAGGTTTTCAGGGAGACAGCTGTCTGCACTCCCTACAGAAACCCAGCAATGATTGTGCACGTTAAGACATGTGCTTTTTATTTCTTAGCAGGATGTTTTTATCTCTGTACATAAAGTAGAAACCAAAAGCTAGGGAAACAGATACTCTCCACCATCATGCCAGACATTGTTTTTAAAGCATTGTGTTTTTTTTTTTAAGTTACTAAAACCAAGACGCTGTGATTTTTTTTTTTTAAGTTGCAATATGTTTTTGGTTTTTTTCCTTTTTTAATCTTGCAGTTAAGAGAAATGGACATTAGTTGTGTTAATCTTGCAAAATGTTTGCAGGACTGACTATCAAACTGGATGACTTCCATTTATGCCCCACTGTGTCAGTTCAAGCATCAAAATACCTTGCGTCTGAGACAGACTTCCTACATCAGGGACAGGTATCTGTGTGTCATTATACAAAACAGTTCGAGGGGGTTGAACTACGTAGTAAAAAATAAAATAAATAGTACTTAGTGTAAAATAATTTTATAAATGATCTTTTGTACTTTAGGACATTAAATTGTACAACTTTTGTATATATAAAAGCTTAGGAACTTTCTGTTTAGCAGGAAGGCAACACATTCCTACACTTTTAATGTATATGTTTGTTATAATGTCCATGTAAACATGCCCTATGTTTGTGCCTTTTAATTAGTTTGTCTCAATAAACAAAATGTAGAGAAAAATATGTAGCTATGACTTTGTTACAACTGTTCCTATCCACAGTACCAAGATGGTTTGTTTTTAATATGTAGAGCATTATGTGTGGACTACTGGAAGGACTCGTGTAGGGAAGGCCCACACATGGCGCTGCTGAGGCCTGGATTGGGCAGATAGTGGCCACATTTGGAGGAAGCCCATGTTTCCTGGCACGCAGCCCCAGAACGGGGTTCTGGCTCTGCTTAATGGGCCGTGTCGTCTCTCTCTGACTGAGCAGGCAGTCCAGTCCTCCAGCATGGACACAGCCCGGCTTCCTCCACAATGGTCCAAGGAGCCGTCCTCAGTGGGGGCAGATGTGGACCCTACCCCCAGGCTAGAGTGTGGTCGTCAGAACCCTGAAAGTATTAGTTCTTTAAAAAAAAAAGATATATACTAGAAATGATTGCTTTATCAATTCATTGTATAATAAACAGGAGTGAGACTTCATTGTATGACTTCAGTTAAAATGCTATTTTGTATGCATCCTTTATTCACTTAAGCTTGTCTGCAATAATAAAGCCACGTCGTGTCTTCTTTTGGGAGGGAGAGAGTTGGCAGGATGGAGGTGGCAGTGGGCCACTGGTATGGCGGGGGGGCCAAAGTAGGTTGTGGTGAAATTCTCCTGTCTTTGAACTGGAATTGAGTTTTAATGCTGATGAACTGATTCAACCAAGTGTTGAAGGCACGACGGCCATCGCTCACAAAAAAGCAGAGAGTTTGTTTTTCTCTTCTGGTTGTAACCTGGTTAAGAGCGTCCCCTTTATCAGATTGGCAGCTAAAGAGTTGTATTAGATAATCCTCAAATCTGACATCCAGCCTGTTACGCTCTAGGGCTCGCTTCTTGGCCTGCATTTTGCCTTTTATTGTATCCATTTCCCTCCTAAGGTGTGCTCCTAAACAAAGGTTTCTATGTAAGCAGATTGGATGATTTTTCCTGTCAATACCAGCACTGTATTACTAACATGCAAAAACTGCAGATTTATTTTGACAAATTAAAGTTAACCAGTCACAAATGTTATGATGGATTGCTTAATACCTCAGAAGCTTCACCAGTTCACCATGATAGAGAAATTTTTGCAGCGCTGCTTCTCCAGGTGTACACATCTTGATACTGGGTGGCAGAGAGAGGGAAGGGCTAGTGACCCCTGGCCGAGAGAGTGGGTCTGCACCAGGCTGACTGCAGGAAAACTACTCCCCACCTAAAGTAAACCCAGAGAAGATGGTTTTTAAAACTTTTTTTTCTTATGCTCTAAATCCAGCTGCTTTACCTGAAAGGGATTTTAGGTTGGGTTGCCTAATCATTTGTATTGCACGAGGTTCATCAGATGTCTCCTGAGTGCCAACAATGTGCCAGGCACTGTTAGGCAGTAAAGGGCATAAAACAAAGATGAAAAACTGGTGGCTGCCTCCAAGGAGGCTGTTAAGAGAGATACGCTACGTTCCCAAGTGATAGTATCACCAGACAGCAAATCAAGATGCATCTGACACCATTTAATAAAAAGCTTTGGATGCCTACATCTGTTTTGTATATAGTTGAGGCTTTCCAAACTTCCTCTGATAATTGATTTTAGTCTATTGACCCAGTGAAAACAGCTGGAGGAAGAATTTCTTACGTTGCTTTTGTTTGGAATGGGAAGTGTCATTTCAGTGAGTTGCTAGTTAACAGTGCTTACTGTCCAGGTGTTTCTGCTCTTCTCAGGGAGCCCTGCAGTTTGGTCCTCTCTGAAGAGACTTGGATTCAGGAGGTTTTCCCTATAGTATCCTCAAGTAACATTGGACTAAAGGACAGTCCAATGTTTTCATGAATTACCATTGAACTTTCCCCTTCCAGCCCTAATAAAATCTGGCCTTCAGCCCTGCACTCTTCCCATTTCCTCCTTAAAGCATCCTGTAGCCTGAAAGAAGGTGATTTGTCCCCCCATCTAGGCCTATAAATCTCCCCAGAGCTGATCTGACCCTGGCAGATTACTGGGTAATCTCCTTCCCCCACCACCTCCCATCCTGTAAAAAAGGGAGCCAGACCTCAGTGTGTTAACGGTTCAGGGCTGAACACTGACTGAGCTTGTGCGCTGATCTGGACTATAGCTTCTCTTGGCTGCTCACTTTCAGGCGATCGAAGGTCCACGTAGTTCCGGAGAAAAGAATGGAGGGAGGGTTAGGGCTCTGCTTCGGGTCTCCGTGTGGTGAGCACTCTGCTTGGACCACCAGGGGTGGCTTGTCAGCTCTCACCTTTCCAAGACAGGCACTTGACCCATATCTTGGCCCTGGACCCTGAGAGGCAAGTACTTATCCCTTTACAAAACCTTGCCTGTCATGGTAAGGGAATGGATTTTCACACTTCAGATTCCGTATCACCTCTGGCTTGCAACATAGCTTCAGGAGTTTTCTTCATCCCCGATGATCTTCAACTTGATATCCCACCTCCTTCCCAACCCTTAAATACCTCTTTGAAGAGAACAAAGTAGAACTTGAAGTCACTTCCTGGAGCGAAGCCTTTCTGCCCACCATGCAGGAAGAATTGTGTGGAGTGTCTAAGTTTACATTGTTTATGGAATTTTCTAAGTGAGGTCCACTTGCATTTGGCTGTGTCAGCCCTTCCACCTGAATGTCATTTTTTCCCCTCAGTACATCTGTAAAGAGCCTGGGTAAGAATTATTAGGCTAGTGATAAACATTTGAGGACACCATCCTCTTCTGCCAATGAGCGACTTGGCACAGCCCCTGGAGAGGATGAGAAGACCAAGGGGAATGGAAGGAACACGTCCTTCTAGTGACTGCACAGCAGGTCTGTCTGGCAGTCAGCGCCCAGGTCCCAGGCTGGGAGCAGACGTGCCAGTTCCAGAGAGTGCTCGTGCAGAGGGGAGTCAGCCTCGGAGGCTGGGACAGGAAGCTAAGTGTTGGTCAACCTTGGGGGCCACCAAAGCCACCACAGTTCTTACAGAGTCTGCTTAGATCCACTCAGAGATCAGGTTCCAACGAGCCTGGATCCTCAAGGCCTTTGCTCACGAGCCAAGAAATTCCTAACTTTGTTAATGGTGGCAATAGAGCCAGAGGGAAATCAGCTTTGCTTATGAGGTGAG